GAATTCACAGATATTCTGAAGAATGGTGGAAACCAGCAGCCATTGATATTCATATAGGAACAAAAAAACTGCAACACTTTAGTTTAAAGGTGCTGTAATGACGTTTTTGACTCTTCTAAAGTATAAAAATACCATAATATGTTTGCAGATATTTAAGAAACATGCCAAGCGAATATACTTGTTTATCTGAAAAACAGTGCTGAAGTCAGATATTCTGCTTTAAAAATGTGTGTTACGTGCCCGAACGGCTGTCTTTGTTTTGGTCCTTTAACCCGCCCAATGCCAGTTTAGCCAATTATATTTTAGCACCCTGGGTTGCCTTGGTGGAAAACAGCATATTTCATTTATTCAGTCATAAAGGCTCTGAAACCATGCGTCCGTGACCGAAATGCGACCTCGGGTGGACAGTTGCAGATTCCGAAATGAGATGCAGATTCAGAGTTCCACATGAGGTGGTTATTAAGTAGCAACTAATATAAATATTACGAATGTAAACATTAGATGAGAAGGTTACATTGTGACCAGTGTCATGACAACACGCTACATGACGAGATGCGCAGTGATAAGCAATTTGGCTGTTTGCACCAGACGAAACACGATAGAAATGTGAATACAGTCGATCAGAAGCACAGAATAGTGTACTCACAACGAAATGGTAAGGTTTATAATCTACTTAATACATATTAAACCTCTTTAACATGAGTCACAGTGTTCAATTTCAAACGGCTTTGTTTTATTTTCAAGATCTGAGGTGAACTATCTGCTGCTGCTTTCAGTAGTATGGCAATAAATGTCCTGTAAGATGGCTTTAAAACTCACATTATTAGCGTTTACTAGGGGTGTCAAAATTAATTGTTTCTTCGGTGCACTGCGATGCAGACGTGGACAATTCGGTAACGGTTCAGTAATAATCATAACCGGTTATTATGTACTGACGTCATTTATCTCATAAGGGCTCTGTCGCGAGGGAGGTGAGTGCGGGTATTTACAACACTCCAGGAGCCAACTCAGGGCCGGCCTGTGGCATAGGCAGTATAGGCAAATGCTAAGGGCGCTGTACATCCAAGGGGCGCCAGAATTGAGCATGGCTAAGTTGGTTTTGTTTTCGATATCCCTGACACATTCAGTGATAGTTGGCAATAACTCAAAAACCTCTTACCCTAAAAAGATCTAAAGTGTGTTTTCTACAAAAAGACAAAGCTGGTTATGTTTCACAGCTTTTTTTTTTTTTTTTTTTGCTTAACATTACGACCACTGCTCCGTTTAAGCCCTCGCAATATGCGTTTACGGAGAGCTCGCGCTGAGCAAAGCTCTCAGTAAGGGACCGTCGTAAAAGTGCTTCTTTTTATTTATTTATTTTTTTATTTTAAATAAAAAAATATATATTTATATTTATATAATTTTTTATTTATATTTTTATTTATTTTTTTATTTATATTGCGAGGGCTTAAATGTGTTTGTGTGTGTGTGAGTGTGTGAATGTTTGTTTGTTTGTTTGTTTGTTTGTTTGTTTGTTTGTTTGTTTGTTTGTTTGGTGCTGTCTGTGTTTGTGTATGTGTGTAAATGAGAGACAGTGTGGTGCTGTGTGTCTGTTTGTTTATACAGACAGCTTGTTATAGCCTCCCCCAAAAATATAACACTGTGTATAGAAAGCATCGTCAATGCACCGTGATGCACCGAGATATCGAATTGAACCGAATCGATGGCATGATAACCGTAACCGAACCGTGAGACCACTATAAGTTCACACCTCTAGCATTTACCACTGACAATGATCACCTCAGGTGCACCTCATGTGCTTTATTCAGTTTTCTGTTGTTTGGCTGTGACAGAGCCGTTTCTAAAATATAAATTTCAGGTGTTTGTTACAACAAAAACTCCTTTTATTATGTAAAATATTCCTTCTATTGTGAGCCATTGTGTTCTGTGTGTGCGTCCATATACGTCAATGTGTTCATGTGTGTGTGCGTGTATCTATGTTTGTTTGCACGTGTCTCTATGTGTGTGTGTGCACATCTATGTATGGATGCGCACGCTACTGTGTGTCTCTATGTGAATAGATTTATGCAAATGTTTATGTGTGTGTGTGTGTGCAGGACGGAGAGCAATTTGTGAAGAAGATTGGAGGTGTGTTTGCCTTTAAAGTGAAGGACGGGCCGGAGGGAAAGGAAGCCGTCTGGATTGTGGATGTAAAGAATGGAAAAGGCTCCATTCACAATGACAGCGGTGAGTGTGTGTGTGTGCAGAACAGACTTCACAATGACAGCGGTGTGTGTGTGTGTGCAGAACAGACTTCACAATGACAGCGGTGTGTGTGTGTTTGTGTGTGTGTGTGTGTGTGTGTGTTTGTGTTTGTGTGTGTTTGTGTTTGTGTGTGTGTGTGTGTGTGTGTGTGTGTGTGTGATGCACAATGACAGTGGTGAGTGTGTGTGTGTGTGTGTGTGTGTGCAGTGCAGACAGTATTGATCTGCAAACTGCTGACATTTCCTGCTCATGGGTGTCTCAGCTGGACTCTTCTAGGTCATGTGTGGTTATTTTAAGTGAAATCGGCTGTTTGTAGTGGTCTGAGGTTGAAGGAGAGGATCCTGATCTTCTGCAGACATAATTTGACATTTTCATCTCTTTGTGAAAATCGCAATGACGTTTTTGTCAAAATGGAGTTATTGACATATTCTTATTAAATGACAACTTCTTTACATTATGGAAGTTTTATTTATTTAGTTATTTTTATATTTTTTATATTTTAAGACTTTTTATAAAAAAAAAAAAAAAGCACAAAAAAACAAATGTTACACACTAAGGGCTCTATTTTGACGGTCCATGCGCAAAGCGCAGGGCACAAATGCATTCAGGGCGTGTCAGAATCCAGTTTTTGTTAATATAAGGATGGAAAAATCTGCTTTGCGCCGTGGCGCATGGTCTAAAAGGGTTGAATTTATTTTCTTAATTGGTTATAGGTATGTTTTGAGAATAAACCAATCAGAGTCTCATTTTAGGGGTCCCCAAAGACATTCTAGGGCCTACAACCCACCAACTCTTCACTTTCGTCCCAAACCCCCCCTCATCACATTCATCTGCGACCCTAAACCACCCCCCACCCATCTTCCCTGCTTTCATCCGTGCAGTTCCAACTCTTCTCTTTCGTTTGACTCTTTGTTCACCTTGGTCTTTGCCCTCTAACCCCCCCTTCTGTTCTTCTCTTTCATCAGACACCCCCCTCCCTTCTCCATGTCCTCCAACCAACCATCCGACCTTCCACTCTTCTCTTTCATCCCCAACAACAATCACCCTCTCCACCCCCTCCCGGGTCTTCACTTTTGTCCACAACCCCTCTCCCGCCTTAAATTTTGTCCATGTCGTCCAACCCCCCAACCTTACGCTCTTCTCTTTCATCTGCGACAACCCCCCCACCCTAGTTTCCACTTACATCTGCGACTACCATAACCACACCACCCCCACCACACAGTCTTCAATTTAGTCCGCGACTACAACGCCCCCCCACCCCAAACTCTTCACTTGTCAGAGAGTGTCTGCGTGTATTAGAGATGCGCGGATGGGCTATTATTTCATCCGCAACCGCATCACAAAACTCATCATCCGTCCGCCATCCATCCGCACTAACATTTTTGACCAAATTTTAAAACCGCACCCGCCCGCCATCTGCTGACTGAGCTCTTTATTTGAATGGCTTATTCCTTTTTACTATTAAATGAATGTTTCTTTATTGATTATTAGAAAAAAGAGAATGACTTTAATGACATGCAGTTAATTCAAACGTGCAAGTCAAATCCAGCATTAATTGACGCTTTGAAGTGATGCTAAACAATACGAGGACGTGTCGTTTCACTTGATTCAATTCCTCGGTCCTTGAGTCTTTTCCTTGCGTCCTTCCCTCGCATCCTATAGGGGTGGAAAGACGAAGAAAGAAAGCAAGGAAAGGAAACGAGGATACACAAATAAGAAATGAGAAGCATAAAGCTCTCAGAATATCAGCAGTGAACTCCGTCTCCAATTGGCGCACAGGGACAAAAATAAATAAATAGCCTAAATTAAACGCACTGTACTGTACATTTTTTTTTATTATTATTGTAGCCTAATAGAAAACGCATTTTGACACATAATTTCAACATTCAGACGAGAGCGCCTGGCCTCAATGCGCCCTGCTGCACTGAAGGAGCGCTCGCTCGCAGCACTTGTTGCTGGAATGCATAGAATTCTCTTGGCAAGGTGCTGTAGACGTGGGAATGACTGGCCTTGTTTCTCCTAAAAGGAAAGTAGATTTTCCTCTGCTGATCCGTCTATACGGAAGTTTGTAAAGGAATACTTCTGTACTTCATCCAGAATTAGTGTATCCGATTCCTCCTCTCATTCTGTGAAGTCAGTTCTAGGCTTTTTCGTTGGTTCGCCAGCTATGTGTACAAAAACAGTACAACCGCCCACCACCCGCCCGAATTTAATTAAAATTGTATTTTTCGTCACGTCATCCGCCCGATACGCGGTTTATCCGCTGATTCCGCGGCTGTAACCGCCATCCACGCATCTCTAGCGTGTATACATTTGAACTCCGAATTATTAGCCCTGCTGAATTTTTTAGCGGCCCCCAATTTCTGTTGTGTTGAATGTGTGTTGAATTTTTCTTCAACACATTTCTAAACATAATAGTTTTAATATCTCATCTCTAATAACTGATTTATTTTATCTTTGCCATGATGACGGTAAATAATATTTGACTAGATATTTTCAAGACACTTCTATACAGCTTAAAGTGATAATTAAAGGCTTAACTAGGTTAATTAGGCAGGTTAGGGTAATCAGGCAAGTCATTGTATAATGATGGTTTGCTCTGTAGACAATCTAAAACAAATAATGCCTAAGGGGGCTAATAATATTGACCTTAAAATTGTTTTAAAAGTTAAAAACAAAATAAAACCAATAAGACTTTCTCCAGAAGCAGAAGGAAAAATATTATAGGAAATACTGTGAAAAATCCTCTGTAAACATCATTTGGGAAATATTTAACAAAAGAAACTAGAAATTCACAGCAGAGCGAACAAGAGTGACTGCAACTGCATATGACTGATGGTGAAGCGTCATGTGTCGTTTTTCCAGAAGTGAAGAGTTTGTGCTCTTCTTGCTCTTCTCGTCTACTTTTAATGATGTGTGGGTGTGTGTGATGGCAGAAACTGTGGGTATTCACGTGTGTGTGTGTGTGTGTGTGTGTGGTTTTTGTGTGTAGGATGAGAGCAAATGAAAGCCAGTGAGTGTGTGTTTCAGCCTAATGACCAGTTTCAAAGCTGCTCACGCGTGCTGGATTCTCATTCGTTATGTAACAGGAGATAAAGAAACCAAACCAAAGAAACACAACAAGTGTTAGGCTCTTTGTTGTTTATTTTTAGCTCTGGTTCTCGTTAATGGGTTTCTGTTTGTGTCTCTCTCAGATAAGAAAGCAGACTGCACTATTGCTATGGCTGACTCGGACCTGCTCGACCTCATGACTGGAAAGATGAATCCACAGACTGTAAGTGTTGATGACCGATCACACCAAAAAAAAAAAAAAAAAATCTCAGTTTGTCTATTTTAGGATTAACAAGCCAGAGTGTCCAAACCTGTAAAATAATACAGAACAAATATTAAGTATTATGTGCATAAACCTTTCTGTGCAGTTACATACACACACACACACACACACACACACACACCGGTCATTTTATTAGGTACACCTTCTTAGAGCTGGGTTACACCCCCTTTTGCCTTCAGAATTGCCTTAATAATAATAATAACCTTTTATTTAACCAGGTAAGTCAATTGAGAACCAGTTCTCATTTACAATAATCCTTCATGGCATAGATTCAATAAGATCCTGGAAATAATCCTCAGAGATTTTAGTTCATATCGACATGATAGCATCATGCAATTGCTGCAGATTTGTCGGCTGCACATCCATGATGTGTGAATCTCACTTTCCACCACATCCCAAAGGTGCTTAATTGGATTGATATCTGGTGCATTTGAGTACAGTGAACTCATTGTCATGTTCAAGAAACCAGTCTGAGATGATTCACGCTTTATGACATTTATGGCGCGTTATCCTGCTGGAACTAGCCATCAGAAGATGGATACACTGTGGTCATAAAGGGATGGACATGGTTAGCAATACTCGGGTAGGCTGTGGCGCTGACTCTGCTCAATTGGTACAAATGGGCCCAAAGTGTGCCAAGAAAATATCTCTGACACCATTACACCAGCACCAGCAGCCTGAACCGTTGATACAAGGCAGGATGGATTCATTTTTTTCATGTTGATGACGCCAAATTCTGACCTGACCATCTGAATGTCGCAGCAGAAATCAAGACTCATCAGACCAGGCAACGTTTTCCAATCTTTTATTGTCCAGTTTTAGTGAGCCTGTGCAAATTGTAGCCTCAGTTTCCTGTTCCTAGCTGACAGGAGTGGCACCCAGTGTGGTATTCTGCTGCTGTAGCCCATCCGCTTCAAGGTTGGACGTGTTGTGCGTTCAGAGATGCTCTTCTGCAGACCTTGGTTGTATCAAGTGATTATTTGAGTTACTGTTGCCTTGCTATCAGCTGGAACTAGTCTGGCCATTTTCCTCTGACATCAGCAAGGCATCTGGAATACACGCTATTATCTCATGACTGTGACGCAGCTTCAAAAATTCGTTTCAAACCGGAAGTATGAATTTGCTTGAAATAACACAAAAACAACCAATTTACACTTTTTAGTGAAATATAGGTGTCCTAATAGTGTTTTTAGCAGTGTGGGACACATCTACGACTATCAACAGCTCAAAAAATGTGTTTTGGTGTTTCGTGACACTTTAATAGACTAAAACCCCAATGTAAATTACTGAAAATCCCGCCCTAAAATACTGATAGGCCCGCCTTAATGGATTGACAGCTCCACCGCTATAGAACTGATATTCCCACCCCTAAATGACTGATAGCCCCGCCTCTAAATGACTGATAGCCCCGCCTCTAAATGACTGATAGTCCCGCCCTACAATACTGATAGTCCCACCCTAAAATTATGATAGCTCCGCCCCTAAAGGACTGTTAGCTCTTTAAATTTTAATAAACTATCAAAACCACTCAAGATTTACATATAAAAATACATTTGGTTATTGTGTCTAAAATGATAGTACTGATAGTTCCGCCTCTAAATGACTGATAGCCCCGCCCCTCAAACTACTCGTAGTTCCGCCCCTAAAGGACTGATAGCCCTGCCCTAAAATACTGATAGCCCCACTTTAATGAATTGATAGCTCTTGCCCTGAAGGACTGATTGCTCCACTCCTAAATGACTGATAGTTCCGCCTCAAATAGACAAATAGTTCTACCCCAAAATGACTTCTAAATCGGTCCCTAATTGACTGATAGTTCTGCCCCTAAATGAATGATAATTACGCCCCTAAATGACTGATAGTTCTGCCCTAAATGACTGATAGTTCCGCCCCTAAATGACTGATAGTTCTGCCCTAAATGACTGATAGTTCCGCCCCTAAATGACTGATAGTTCCGCCCCTAAATGACTGATAGTCCCGCCCCTAAGTGACTAATAGTTCCGCCCCTAAATGACTAATAGTTCCACCTCTAAATGACTTATAGTGCCGCCCCTAAATGACTGATAGTTCCGCCCCTAAATGACTGATAGTCCCGCCCCTAAATGACTAATAGTTCTGCCCCTAAATGACTAATAGTTCCACCCCTAAATGACTTATAGTGCCGCCCTTCAATGACTGATAGTTCCGCCCCTAAGTGACTAATAGTTCCGCCCCTAAATGACTGATAGCCCTGCCCTAAAATACTGATAGCCCCACTTTAATGAATTGATAGCTCTTGCCCTGAAGGACTGATTGCTCCACTCCTAAATGACTGATAGTTCCGCCCCAAATAGACTAATAGTTCTGCCCCTAAATGACTGATAGTTCCGCCCCTAAATGACTGATAGTTCCGCCCCTAAATGACTGATAGTTCCGCCCCTAAATGACTGATAGTTCCGCCCCTAAATGACTGATAGTTCCGCCCCCTAAATGACTTATAGTTCCGCCCCTAAATGACTGATATTTCCGCCCCTAAATGACTTATAGTTCCGCCCCTAAATGACTTATAGTTCCGCCCCTAAATGACTGATAGTTCCGGCCCTAAATGACTGATAGTTCCGCCCCTAAATGACTTATAGTTCCGCCCCTAAATGACTTATAGTTCCTCCCCTAAATGACTGATAGTTCCGCCCCTAAATGACTGATAGTTCCGCCCCTAAATGACTGATAGTCCCGCCCCTAAGTGACTAATAGTTCCGCCCCTAAATGACTAATAGTTCCACCTCTAAATGACTTATAGTGCCGCCCCTAAATGACTGATAGTTCCGCCCCTAAATGACTGATAGTCCCGCCCCTAAATGACTAATAGTTCTGCCCCTAAATGACTAATAGTTCCACCCCTAAATGACTTATAGTGCCGCCGTTCAATGACTGATAGTTCCGCCCCTAAGTGACTAATAGTTCCGCCCCTAAATGACTGATAGCCCTGCCCTAAAATACTGATAGCCCCACTTTAATGAATTGATAGCTCTTGCCCTGAAGGACTGATTGCTCCACTCCTAAATGACTGATAGTTCCGCCCCAAATAGACTAATAGTTCTGCCCCTAAATGACTGATAGTTCCGCCCCTAAATGACTGATAGTTCCGCCCCTAAATGACTGATAGTTCCGCCCCTAAATGACTGATAGTTCCGCCCCTAAATGACTGATAGTTCCGCCCCCTAAATGACTTATAGTTCCGCCCCTAAATGACTGATATTTCCGCCCCTAAATGACTTATAGTTCCGCCCCTAAATGACTTATAGTTCCGCCCCTAAATGACTGATAGTTCCGGCCCTAAATGACTGATAGTTCCGCCCCTAAATGACTTATAGTTCCGCCCCTAAATGACTGATAGTTCCGCCCCTAAATGACTGATAGTTCCGCCCCTAAATGACTGATAGTCCCGCCCCTAAGTGACTAATAGTTCCGCCCCTAAATGACTAATAGTTCCACCTCTAAATGACTTATAGTGCCGCCCCTAAATGACTGATAGTTCCGCCCCTAAATGACTGATAGTCCCGCCCCTAAATGACTAATAGTTCTGCCCCTAAATGACTAATAGTTCCACCCCTAAATGACTTATAGTGCCGCCGTTCAATGACTGATAGTTCCGCCCCTAAGTGACTAATAGTTCCGCCCCTAAATGACTGATAGCCCTGCCCTAAAATACTGATAGCCCCACTTTAATGAATTGATAGCTCTTGCCCTGAAGGACTGATTGCTCCACTCCTAAATGACTGATAGTTCCGCCCCAAATAGACTAATAGTTCTGCCCCTAAATGACTGATAGTTCCGCCCCTAAATGACTGATAGTTCCGCCCCTAAATGACTGATAGTTCCGCCCCTAAATGACTGATAGTTCCGCCCCTAAATGACTGATAGTTCCGCCCCCTAAATGACTTATAGTTCCGCCCCTAAATGACTGATATTTCCGCCCCTAAATGACTTATAGTTCCGCCCCTAAATGACTGATATTTCCGCCCCTAAATGACTTATAGTTCCGCCCCTAAATGACTTATAGTTCCGCCCCTAAATGACTGATAGTTCCGGCCCTAAATGACTGATAGTTCCGCCCCTAAATGACTTATAGTTCCGCCCCTAAATGACTTATAGTTCCGCCCCTAAATGACTGATAGTTCCGCCCCTAAATGACTGATAGTTCCGCCCCTAAATGATTTTTAGTTCCGCCCCTAAATGACTGATAGTTCCGCCCCTAAATGACTGATAGTGCCGCCCCTAAATGACTAATAGTTCCGCCCCTAAATGACTTATAGTGCCGCCCCTAAATGACTGATAGTTCCGCCCCTAAATGACTAATAGTTCTGCCCCTAAATGACTGGTAGTTCCACCCCTAAATGACTGATAGTTCCGCCCCTAAATGATTTTTAGTTCCGCCCCTAAATGACTGATAGTTCCGCCCCTAAATGACTGATAGTTCCGCCCCTAAATGATTTATAGTTCCGCCCCTAAATTACTGATAGTTCTGCCCCTAAATGACTGATAGTTCTGCCCCTAAATGACTGATAGTTCCGCCCCTAAATGATTTTTAGTTCCGCCCCTAAATGACTGATAGTTCCGCCCCTAAATGACTGATAGTTCCGCCCCTAAATGATTTATAGTTCCGCCCCTAAATGACTGACAGTTCTGCCCCTAAATGACTGATAGTTCTGCCCCTAAATGACTGATAGTTCCGCCCCTAAATGACTTATAGTTCTGCCCCTAAAGGATTTATAGTTCCGCCCCTAAATGACTGATAGCCCTGCCCCTAAATGACTGATAGTTCCGCCCCTAAATTATTTTTAGTTCTGCCCCTAAATGACTGATAGTTCCGCCCCTAAATGACTGATAGCCCTGCCCCTAAATGACTGATAGTTCCGCCCCTAAATTATTTTTAGTTCCGCCCCTAAATGACTGATAGT